AAAAAAAAAAAAAAAAAAAAAAAAGGATTTCATTTATTTTTCCATAAAATTTCAATCATATTTAACGAGTCACTTTTTTTAACTCATTTAACTCAACCTCACTGTCGTCAATATTATTAATATAATTATATAATATCGACCTATCATTCTTACACATCACATCGACTTTAATTTACTATTCATCCACTCACATAATTTTAACTAACCATCACTTCGCATCATCACTCTAATATTTTCACATCAAATCAATTTTAATTATTTTACTTTAAATATTATTTTAATATAAAAACTCAAAATCCCACTAATAACTAACCATACCAAACCAAAAAATCAAAATATTTTATAGGCTTAAAAATCTATTCTTTAAATTCATACCCATGAGGAGTAGGCATCCCAAAGTTCCGCTTGATATTCTCCTTTGTGTTCCTTCCCTTCTGGTGTCCCATGAACATGTAGCCTTTGCCATTTATAGAACCGATACCAGTGACAATAGCAGGATCATCATATCCAGCTCGATCGCCATGGAGCTCCACAAACTAGCCATATATAAAATTAAAAAAAACAATTATTTCACAAGAACTAATGAATCCTAAACAAACGATTTTGTTAAGGTAAAGTTTTGGACTGTAGAGAAATTATCAGACACTCTCAGTAATGTTGTAAATATGGTCAAGCATTGTTGGTCTGTGGGGATGTCGTGAAATGTTCACACGTTGTATAGGGGTCAAATGTGTGTATAGTCTTCTCCGAGCCTGCAATCAAATGGAAATGGAAAGTGCCAATATATCAGAATATTAGTAAGAAACGAAAACAGGGTGATGGAAACTAGATTCTAATCGACCACAAAATCTTAATGCGAAATGAAGTTTTCTTGGATTGGATTCGATTTATTGGATAAAAACAGAGTTAAGATGGAAAAAAAGTTTGATTTGGTGGAGATTTGGATTTGGTTTTGAGTTTGTGAATGGATATGAGTAAAGATGTAATTTATTCAAGATTTTAAAAGCAGTAAAGTGATTGCAAATGATTGGTAATTACAAATATGAGTGGATTCATAGTAAATTCTGTTGGAAACGGCGTAGTAATGATTAGTTAGAATTATTTAATTAATATTGATATTATTGAGGAGAGTTAAGAAGTTAAAAATTTGTATCCAATCATAGTTCCGTCCAAAAAATTATCTGCAAAATGGCATTCAAGCATTAGTCGGTAATAATATGAGAGCTTTATGTTGCACAGCTAGATGACATTTCTTTTCATGATGAAAAACAAAGCTTCCATGTTACATAAAACACAATGGTACGAGAGCAAAAGGGAGTAGTGAAACCTCTTCATAATTTTCCTCCAGCAATTTAATTTGCTCAGCGAAATCCAAACCTGTTTCGTTTGCCATTCGTTTTACCTGTAAGAGGAAGCAAGAAAAAATAAATAAATCACATTGTCTGTATCAAAGGACTTATAT